TGCGTCAATACGCAGAAAACAAGATCATTATACCAATGATCTTGTTTTCTGTGAAGATAGATTTATCTACTTTATCCATCAGCATAAAATTTAGTTCTAACTTGGGACCTTTCATGCAACTCTTTCTTCTCTTGAAGTTCAAGCAATGTTAGTTGAATAGGAGCTATAAAGAAATATACAGGGTTTTTCATAATTACTGAGACAAACTGAGAGGGGTTGTACAGGGTATGAAAATAAGCAAGTTTGCCTGATAAACCCCTATCCGGAAGTTTGCTATTTGACTTCCAGCGAAAAAAAAAAAAAAAAAAAACGAAATTTTGCGTTTGATTCGAAGTATCTTCTATATCCTTCAGCACATAGCTGGGCTCATTGTTCATTGATGGTCGAACTCTGCGAGATTTCCCTGTTGTGTCTTGGATTTCTGCCCAAACGGCCATCACTCTTCCCAGTAACTCTTGTTGGTTGGGAACAGAAATGAGACTCAAAGTCGTGGGTTCGAGCCCCACGTTGGGCGCCAAAAAAATTTCAACTTCAAGCATTAGGCAGGTTTACGTGACGTTAATTCTTTCCACTTTAAGGACCAAACAAAGCTACGCAGGGGAACGCTTACCTATGTCACTCGTGGCGGCCCCAGCTATCATTCGCTTGGGTGGGTTCAGAAGGTAGAATAAAGGACGGCACGTAATTAAACGCCTCAGTGACAATACTTAACTGATGATTTTAGAATTTATCAATATTATTTGATAAGGGCTGGCTCTAATTACGAATAGCCAGGCACCCTTAACAACCCTGCAAATAAGTCGCAAGTGACCTAAGTATACTACACACTACGTTGGTCTCCAACTTGTGTTAGTTATTGACTCTAGAACAGCGGTTCCCAAATTGGGGGGCGCGCCCCCCTGGGGGGGCGTGAAGCAACATTGGGGGGGGGGGGGGCGTAAGTCTTCTAAACAATTAATACAAATTACAAGCTTTAAAATAAAAATCAGGTAAAATTTAAAAAAAGATGTCTACAATCCTACAACAGCGCATACATAAGCCAAAGCAGCTTTGCCATGCGATCTGTTACTGTATTCCTTTTACCCGTTGAGTGACTCGGAGCTGCTTAGTGTCAAAAGCGTGAACATTCCTTTCAAAAGTGCGTGAAAGCACTTGAGTCGCTTATAGTGCATCCCCCTTTCCCCTGATGCACCAAATTTGCGGGGGGTGCAATGAGCTTTTTTAGGTAATGTTAATATTAAAGTATAATGATATTAGAAAGTTCTCGTGCCTCAGACGCTATGCTAATACGGTACCGCTAACAATACGGTATTTTAAATGCTATTTTATAGTTCTCGGACACGAACTCACACAAATCTTCTAATTCCTTATTCTGTTTACATTTTGACAGCTGAATTGAGTGATCTAACCCAACTTTTTTTTACTTGCTTGCCAACTTTTATTTATCCTGAAGATTCCTGAGTTTCAATAATTTTTCCTTGGTGTTTTTTATCGAGGAATTATTAAAAGTTGCTGTTCTTACAGACGTAAATGGAGCGTAAACTAATTTTGACATAGCATAGCGTTACGGTAAGGCATCCGCTAACTCCCGTTAGGTAGCGGGCGGCTCCGCTAACGCTAATACCGTAAGAACTGTCATACTTGTCAAATAACGTTACGGTATTTGAAATTTGGACAGCACGAGAACTCTCTAATATCTGAATTATTCTGAATTGTGTGTTTTGGAGTGACTCCGTTTGGTGTAACTCGATGTATGAAAGGAATACAGTTACAGCGCACGCTCGCTGCCCACTGTCATGTCCATTCTTCCTGTTCCAAAGTCTAGTTCAGAGGAGTAACAGTAAGTGAAAAAAAATGTTTTTGTATAATGGGGGAAGGAAGGGGGGCGCGACCACTTCTTGATTTCAGAAAGGAGGCGCAAAAGAAAAAAGTTTGGGAACCACTGCTCTAGAACAATACCAATCTAAACGCTAAAGGGGGTGGAGTCAACAGAGAAAACACAATTAATTTCACTTGAACGAGTTACACTTTAATAAGACAAACAATATGAAAAAGGGTTACGAATTTGAGAAATTTCCCTGAAGGTAATGGTATGAACAAAGATGAAGACAAAATAAAGTTATATTCAACATGAACGAGGATCGAATAAAATATCCTTGCAGGCATGTGTCGAGCACAGTCAAAACTGAAACATTTTTAGTTTCTGAATAAATCTACAATCACTTATGGATCAAGTACAAATTGACATTATTGAACATCCAGACATTCCAGGATGAACTAGAGGCCGTGGAAGACATTTTGCTGCCCCGATGGACCAACCAAACGACAAATAGTCAGAAGGAGTTACACGGATTCTGCGACGCCTCTGAAAGAGCGTACGGCGCTGTAATCTACCTCAAAGTTAACAGTAAGGAAGGATCACCCAAAATATCACTTCTCACAGCCAAATCTAAAGTTGCTCCCACCAGAACAAGAACTGCACTCCCAAGATTAGAGCTATGTGCAGCTGTTATTCTTGCAAAACTCATGAAAAGAACCGTCACTGCATTAGCAATGGAGGAAGTTGATAAATATGCATGGACTGATTCAATGATAACAATATCATGGATAAAGGGAGACGTCACAAGATGGAAGACATTCGTGGCAAACCGAACAGCAGAGATCAACTCCCTACTACCAGACAAGAGTTGGAACCATGTCAGAACTTCGAAGAACCCAGCAGACGCTATCTCGAAAGGCATGGATGCAACAAAACTGAAACAGTTCAAAATGTGGTGGTATGATTGTCCAGATTGGCTAGCGTCAAAACCCACTGTGGAAGTATTGTCACGAAAAATAGAAATACCTCCAGTTACAGAAGAAGTAAAACTGTGTCACGCAACAATTATTACGGCAGAGGATAGTAACCAGATGAAAATCACTAGCAGATTTTCGTCACTTACCAAGTTGATTCGAGTTCTAACGTACTGTCGTCGAATGCTCAAAGGAAACTGGCACAGAAAAGGACCACTACAGGTTGACGAACTCAACACTACTCTAGAATTAGTAGTCAAACAGGAACAACGTTGTCATTTCAGAGAAGATATAAAGTCACTTCAACAAAAGAATCCTGTCAACAGCAAAAGCAAAATCATCAACCTCAACCCAATATTAGATCACAAGGGTATGCTGAGAGTGGGCGGACGATTAGAAAAGTCACATCTACCATGCGAAACCAAGCATCCGAAGATCATATCTTACAAAAGCCATCTCACCAAGCTCATAATTCTCGACGCTCAAAATCGAACCTTACATGAAGGAAACCAGCTCACACTGGCATATACAAGAAAACAGTTTTGGAAAATAAATGCCAAAAAAGCTGTTAAATCAGTCATTGGAAAATGTATAAATGCATTCGATTCAAGGCAACTACAGCGGACCACCTCATAGGAAATCTGCCGGCAGCAAGAGTATCACCATCTCATCCTTTCGAGCATGCAGGCATAGACTATGCCGGGCTACTACAGATTCGGACAACTAAGAGAAGAAGACACAAGGGATACAAGGGATGCATCGCTATTTTTGTATGCTTTGCGTCCAAGGCAGTCCATCTAGAAGCGACATGTCATCCGACACTTTTTTGGCAGCCTTCCGACGGTTTATCCCACGAAGAGGACACTGTGCACATATCTATAGTGACAACTGCACCAATTTCGTCGATGCAAGCAGAATCCTTCAAAAGGAAATAGTCAGGAGCATCCAGAACCCAGAACTCCAACCTAATCTAATCACGCAGCCAAGTTTATGCTACATGGTCTGGCTACATTCAACCAGACAGAGATACGAATCAGCAATCAGCTAGAAAGATTCAGGAAGAAACTCAATGAAGGCATTAAAGCAATAAATGGCATGCAGAGCTGGTACAGCCGAGTTGACGAAAACAAACTTAACATTCATTTATTGAGTGCGTACCAAATCGTACCAACAAGAGCTACTAAGGAAAGTGATCAGAAATCCAAGACACACCAGGGAGATTCCGCAGAGTCCGGTGATCAATGGCCAATTGTCCCCAACTGTGTGCTGAACGACGTGGAAGACATTTCGAACAATTTTTGTGAGCTGGTAAAAAACAGGTAGGTATTTTTTTTTATAGGTACCAAACGCAATAAGTTGTTTTTTTTCGCTGGAGGTTAAGCGGCAAATTTCCGGATAAGGGTTTATAAGGCAAACTTGCTTTTTTTATACCGTCTACAACCCCTATCAGTTTGTAACAATAATTGGAGACACTCTGTATAATTCAATCTTTCAATGAAGGCGCATATGGTGTTCAAATGCTGCAAGTCACAGTATCCTTCACTCTAGCATGAGCAGGATAGTTAGTTGTATTGCCAAGTCCTTTCCACAAGAATTATCTCGGTATAATAAATAAACTATTCAGTGCTGCTGATAATTCAGATCTACATAGTGCCTTAGTTTCGCTGACAAATTGCACTTCATTATGCCTAATAACTCTTCGGTGGCTGAGCTCATATTTGGTAACATTTACAACATTTCTACCTGTCTAGCAGTGACTATTATTAAAAATCTATTTTTATCCGGTGTCGGTTTCAGGTAAATAACCAAAAGGATCTATAGATATGACTTCAAATCTCTTGGACATAGCAGGGATTTGTGATAAACCAGCAGGCGTAATTTTGAAACTTTGACATTCAGTGTATGTTGGAAAGTGGTAAACTTATCTGGTTGACTTTCCCGAGATTTGATTGAGTGTAGGGACTACTAACCAATAGAGAAATAGACGGAAAGACAGGCGTGCCAATTAGGCTGAAGGTGAAGGTCAAATACTTTTCATAATTCAGAAAAGCGTTCTGGGTAAATTATTCAAATAGGCTAGAATATTGAAATTTTGGAGTTCCTAACTGAAGCAATTAGTTAATTAGGTAATATTTAGAATGTGGAGGATCAATTCAATTGATACAATATTGCTATAAACTGAGTTATATTGTTTGTTTTTATTCCAGATCGCTCTCACCCTAGTGCTTCTCGCATGGTTTGCGCTAGGAAACTACTGGATTCTACACATCAAGTATCCCGATTACGCCCCAAAACTATTCGACCCCAACAGGTGGTGTCATCGTACACTATACGTATTTTCATTGGTGCATTTATGCATAATGTATTCAGTGTTTGGTGTCCTGGCTGTGCTAGTGATAGTGTTGGCCGTGTGCCAGATTTTCGGTTGCGAATGTCTCGGTCCTGCTAGGTATAAATAGCAATGTCCGCCGGATTATTTCGAATTGTGGGACGTTCCTAGGAAATATAGGCACTAATCATTAATTTTTAGATGGTTTTTGATAAATTGATATTAAATATTATTTTATTGTGAAGGGTAGTTGCTTCGATGGGTCAGTAAAAGCTAAAAACCTGATTCAATTTTGTGTCAACGTTTTGACGGTTATGAAGTCATCCTTAGGATACAAATTGTAAGGTTTGATGGGTTCAAATATGCGTATTGATATACTGTAGTGTTTCCATTATACTACTAGAAAGCCCACTTGACTATGCATACAGGCAACTTTGTTAAATGCTTAATTTACATCTGGACAATAATGCCTCTGACTCTAACAATTTGAGTTGAATCAAAAACGTCTGTATTATAATTCAAATGTGTTGCTTTGCTTATAATTGAATGGGTGATTGGAAAAAGGATGAAATTCCAGTAAGCCTTACTTTTGGAAAATCAAAAAAAAAAAAAAAACGTTTTTGTGGCGAAGCCGGTAATTTAACAAATATCATTACTATTGTCCAATTGTACACTTTGACAAAGTACATTTGATGCCAATGTTTCACCGGTTTTTACCTATCTGGTAACTAGCTACTGGTATTTGAAAGTATAAAAATTGTATCGTTTTTCCACTCAAAATGAAAATTTTATCCTATTTCCACCCAAAATGCAAAAAAAAATTTAAAAAAAAGAGAAAAAGTCGACATTTATAAAGAAGTAGTATTTATTGAAGAAAACAACATTTTAAAAACTCAGATGCTCGATGCTCTGATATAGCGCGAAGTTCTAATCCGTGGAAGAACGATACAATTGCACTCACAAATAAAATTATGATAAGAAGTCGATTTTATCGTTTTTGCACTCAGCGGGAAGATAGATTGTAGATTGTAGATTGCGGGGGAGTCGTTTCGGCTTTTCAGCCGCTCAGCACTGCTACCTTTGCAGATATTTTGTACATGACTCTACATCTCAAATTGTCTCCAGGAAGCGTAGACTTCTGCCGAAGGAAGCTTTTAGACTATCTGAATCCCAGTGTGTGCCTCCAGTATGATGACAGTTGGTCTTTCTCCCATTTATTGAGTTCTTCCATGATGTGGCTTTTCATTAAGCCACAGTAGGGCTCTGGTCCATGGTATGGTGTTGAGGCCCCTTCCTTTGCGAGGCCATTTGCTTCTTCATTTCCTTCTATGCCTCGATTACCAGGCAGCCACATCAGCGTTACCTGGTTGTGTGTCGCTAGTGTTTTTAGGGTCTGTTTACACTCCCAGACTAGTTTTGACGTGCATTTGAAAACCATTAAGGCTTTTAAGGCAGCTTGGCTGTCCGATAGTATGAAGATGTGTTTTCTTTTGAGGCTTTGACTAAGACACTCTTGTGCACATATATCTATAGCAAGCAGTTCGGCTTGAAATATTGTAAGATGTTTACCCAATGCCTTGGAGAGCTTGAAGTTAGGGCCGGAGATGCCCAGTCCAGCTCCTTTCATTAGCTTGGATCCATCTGTGTACCACAGAGATATATTGTCTGCTTGTGGCAATTCTTTATTCTCCCATGATTGGCGGTTGTTTATTACCACTGCGAATGGGATCTCTAAGTCCAATCTGTCCGTCATGTGGTCGCTTGGTTTGCTGGCATTCTCTATTTTTATTAAGTCAAGGATTCGCAGATGTCCCCTCAGATCACCAGGCTTGAACTTGCCTATTTGGAATAGCCTGTGAGCGCTGGTTTTTGCCTCCTTTTTTACACATAGATGAAGTGGGGGCATATTGAGTAGCGTCTCTAAGTCTGTGGTGGGGCAAGTTTACATTGCTCCCGCTATTCCTAGACATATCAGCTTTTGCACCTTTCTGAGCTTGATCTGAGCAGTCACTTGTTGGGTTTTGGGCCACCACACCAATGAGGCGTATGTGACCATGGGGTTTATTATAGTTTGGTAAATCCAGAATACCATCTTTGGCTTTAGCCCCCATGTTTTGCCAACAAGTTTTCGGCATGACCAAATGGCTGATGTAGCTCGAGAGCATGTTTTCTCTAACTGTTTGTTCCAAGTGAGGGTTCGGTCCAGGGTGACCCCTAAGTACTTCACTTCGTTGGAAAATGTTAGTTGTGTACCGTTAAGGGTCGGGGCATTCAGATTTAACCTCCTTCTTCTTGTGAACGGGACAAGGATTGTTTTGTTTGCGTTTAGGGATAATCCTTCGCCTTCGCTCCAATTTTTAACGATGTTTAGGGCACTTTGCATTCGGCTTGTCACTACGCCTTCATGTTTGCCCTTGATTACAATGGCTAGGTCATCTGCGTAGCCTATGACCTGGTATCCAGCACTACTCAGTCTGGTAAGAATTTTGTCTACCACCAGTGTTCATAGTAGTGGAGAAAGAACACCCCCTTGAGGACACCCTCTGACCGTGGTAGCGGTAGCTGATGCTCCGTTTATTTCAGCCGTAACGTGACGGTGTTTCAGCATCGACTCTATCCATTTTACAATTGGAACTTCAACATCCCATTCTTGTAATGATCTGGCGATTGATTGATGTGAGGTGTTGTCAAAGGCACCCTCTATGTCGATGAAAGCTGTGAAAGCGATCTCTTTGCTCTCGATTGTCTTTTCAATGTCTTTAACCAGGCAGTGTAAAGCACTTATTGTGGATTTGCCTGGTTGATAAGCAAATTGCTTCGAGTAGAGCGGTCTTCTCAATAGAGTTTCGCTTCTGATGTACTGGTAGATTGCTTTCTCCATTGTCTTAAGGAGAAAGGAGGTTAGACTAATGGGACGATATGATTTTGGTTCTTCCTCGGGTCGGCGACCCGTTTTTGGTATGAATATCACATTAGCTTCCCTCCAAGATAGCGGTATGTGCCCTAGGAGCAGGCTCGCCTTAAAAAGCTTTTGTAGGTGTATCTTTAAGTACTCGTAGCCTTTTTGCAGTTGTGCGGGAAAAATCCCGTCTTTGCCTGGAGATTTGTAGGGTCTGAAGCTATCGATCGCCCATTTTATTTTGTTCATTGCGAAGATTTTCCCAGCCAGCCTTTTGCTCCTGCCGTTAGGGCTTTGTGGCCCTTCGATAGGCGGAGTGACCTAGTTCAGGGCTTCAACGATTACCGAACCTGGAAAGTGAGTTTGTAGTAGTACCTCTAGACTTTCTATATGGTCGTACAGTGTTCTCCGTTTGGCTTTTTAAGCAGACCAATTCTGTTTGAGTGGTTTTTTGAAAGAACTTTTTGGAGACGTTGAGCTGGGGCTAATTCGTCAATCCCCTCGCAGAATTGTCTCCATGATTTCCTTTTTGATTTTCTTAATTCACGGTTGTATTTGGCTAGGGCTGTTCTATAGTCTGCCCAATTGCCGTTACTTTTTGCCTTGTTGCCTTTCTGGCATCTTGTTTCAGACGTCTCAGCTGCCCGTTCCACCAAGGCACATCCCTGTGGACTGCCTTCTGTTTTACGGGAAAACTGTTCTCATAGGAATCTTTTATTACATTTGTTAGATTGTCAGATGATGCCTCTAGCTCTTCTATTGTATTTATGTCAGAAGGGAGTTCATCTAGACTCAGGCAGAGACCCTCCACAAAGGCGGAAAGATAGGAGAAATTAGAATAAAATGGCTATCTCACTTTAATTCGCCATATTTTTGGAATTTTATCCTTTTTCCAATCACCCATTCAATTGTATGTCTTGCGGTTTTTTTTTTAAATTGTATGTTTTAAACCAATGTAATGCATTGAACTATATACTAAACGTAACTGGAATGGATCCGAGCGTTATCAGATATGGCATTTGTCACTCCCTGTCCAAAGATAACTATGTAGTGAGGGCTACCTTTCTCTCTCTAGTTCACTGCTAGTTAGGTTTGATATATTCCTAACCTCAAATATAATATTTTTTAGACAAGGAAATATTTCCATAATTGGCCAATAAGATAAATAGAGATAGGTATCCCTCACATTCTCCCTCTCAGTTTGCCTCAATTTTATATATCGGCGCGACCATTCCATGTACGTGTAGTTTATAGTTGATGTAATTAGATTATAAAAGTCGAACTGTAGGTACATGTGTATTCATGTTTTAACCTAGGAAAATCTATCAGGTTGAGCCCTGAGGATTACTTTATAAATGTCGAAATACTGTCACGAAACTGAATCAGGTTTCTGGCTATTATTGGTTCACTCAATCTTTTTAACTTTTAGAGAAATTGGACAATAATTTGTATGAATGTAAATTTTATGTTTTGATAAATGTATAGTGCTGATTGTGAAAACTTTATAAAAGTCATAGCCTTCAATGAAAAAACTTCTTTGAAGTTTGTGGGTTAGTTCATGTCGTGACATAGGCATAGAGTAGACCAACGGCAGCTTTTCATACCTAATCAGCCGCGATAGTGATAATCCAGCTATTATTTTAATGTATGCCTACTTTAACGGGACTGTAGATAGTTAAATTATGGTAGACACAAAGTGTCATGGAAAAAAATATTCTATGTAAATTCGCATTAAATTTAAAAAAAAAAAAAAAACATTCCGTACACGATGAAATGCAGTTTTTGAATTTCTCAGATCACCAATCTGGTGTGAAACAAAATACATTATTTAATTAATAGACGAATATTTGTAATTACCTGTTTATAAATATTTATCCTAAAACACAAATTTTGCAACATCAACGATAAAATAATATAAATAGCTTAAGTTAGATTTTTTTAAGACGAAAGTCGCAACTGCTACTATGGTTTCTTATGCGTTGACTTTTTTTAGATTCTAATTTCTATATTGCTCAAATACTTCCAATTTTATGAATAGTCATACATTTGAGCTCATTTTGAAGAGATTAATCAAAGCTCCTTTTGTCATTGAAAAAACAATTGAATTTTTGAAAACAATAATTTGACGGAAGAAGCGAATAAAATAATTACTTTTCTGACTACAAATGAAAATCAATCAATGGTAAAGTTAAATTGAATTTCTCCCAGGATAGCAACAAAAACGAAGAACGGAAATTTCTTG